TGGCTTGGCTACATTGTAAATGAGGGTCTCCCCCAATGTACTCTGAGTTTAAATAAAGGTTGACTGATTGACTGACTTGTTGTTTTCATGAGAACTATGACTTGTGACAATAAATACCTTTTCTGCTTTATTTTATTTATGTGTATTTACATTGCAGTGTAAATATATAATCTTGAAAGCTAACAACATTGGAAAACAGTGGCAAACTATGACTATTAGAGTAAGACCTTCAATTTTGGCCAATTCATTTTGGGCACTTCTGCTAGGATTCTTGTAGTTTGTTATTGCTAAGCTAACGCCGATTTGCATGTGCACTTTCTGACAAGATTGAGTTAAATTATTGTTAAGGATAGTTCTTTCTGTAATGTTAGCAGAGCTGGTCAGGGAATGTTAGCAAGCTAGCTAGCAAATACCAGTCATCCTATTATCTTGACAGATAAGTTAGCTAGTTATGGTTTTATGAATAAAGTGAACAAATAGGATTGCACCTGTAGTTGGCAATTATTATAATAATACCATTAACAAAGTAGTGTGTATTAAGCTACAATTTTACTTTGACTTCAAAAGCTAGTTAGCATTGTAAAGGATAGTGTTTCCAGAGGCTTCATTTGTAAGTTACAGCTCCTGCCTGTGACCAAAAAATTGTCACGTCTAGCTTTTGTCTTGTCTAGCTAGCTATATTTATTCTCAGATTTTTAATGAGCCCTATTCAAAACTGTTGTCTAATGTAGACCATGCAAAGCGTACACCTGGGAGAAATAAAATAGCTCAATTTAAAGCTAAAACAGCACAACATAATGCAAGACCTAGTACTTAAAAAATAGTTTGTAGTCTATGTTATATACACTAGTACCCATTATATACCTTTTAAATTTAATTGGTGAAATTCTTCTCTGAAGAGAGCTCAGCTACTACAGCTACCACAACTTTCTTGCTACCATAAAAAATGCAACTTGCTCACCTTTTGCAGAACAGTGCAGGGAAAAAACATGTATTCACCATTTTTAACTAGCCATTTAGTTTTTATCCTAAGTAACTTACTATGTTCAAAGATACATAGTCACAGTGGGAACTGAAACTTGTGGCATTTGAAGTCAGTGTGCATGTTCTTTATCCACTCTGCCACAGCTGCTCACTTTACATTACAAATAATGTAATTGTAAAATGCCTGAATCTCGTAGTGTTTCTCAGTCGTGTCTGAGATTGTGCCGAGTGTCCAGGAGATGAAATGTGTGCTGAGCAGTGGTAGACCAATGAGATGGAAAAGATCAGTGAGGCCTTGTCCATGAGAAATCCATAAAATGGTAATGAGTTACTAACAGCCTGTTTTAGACTAGTAGTGTGTTGCCAGAAACATTCCGATGTTTTGCCATGTGTTTAAGTATGTATAAAATATTTGTTTTTTTCCTGATAAGGCTACAGTAAGACGCATCCTCAAAGAATTTGAGGAAGGTCTGCAGTGCAGTATGGACCCAATGACAGCTACACCTTTTGTTTATATTTACAATCCCATTTCCAAAAAAAGTTAGGACGCTGTGCCAAATGTAAATAAAAACAAAATGCAATGATGTGCAAATCATTTAAACCCTATATTTAATGGAGAATAGTACAAAGACAACATATCAAATGTTGAAACTGAGAAATACAAAAAACTGGTGGTTAATTGGCAACAGGTCAGTAACATGATTGGGTATAAAAGAGCATCTCAGAGAGTCTTTCAGAAGTAAAGATGAGGAGGGGTTCACCACTCTGTGAAAGACTGCACGATCAAATAGTGCAACAATTCAAGAATAACGTTTCTCAACATAAAATAGCAAAGAACCTTTCTTTTCATCATCTACGGTACAAAATAACATTAAAAGATTCAGAGAATCTGGAGAAATCTCTGTATGCAAGTGACAAGGCCAAAAACCAGTATTTGCTGGTCGTGATCTTTGGGCCCTCAGGCAGCACTGCATTAAAAACAGACATGATTCTGTAGAGAAAATCACTGCATGAGCTCAGAAACACTTCTGAAAACCACTGTCTGTGAAAACAGTTTGTCGCTACATTCACAAATGCAAGTGTTTAATACAAAGAAGAAACAGAATCCAGAAATGCTGCCACCTTCTCTGGGCCTGAGCCCATTAAAAATGGACTGAGGTGAAGTGAAAAATTGTCCTGTGGTCTGACGAATCAACATTTAAAATTCTTTTTGGAAATCATGGACACTGTGTCTTCCGGGCTAAAGACCACTCAGCTTGTTATCAGTGCACAGTTCAAAAGCCAGTATTCATGATGGTATGGGGGGGCATTAGTGCACATGGTATGGGTGATGTGCACATCTGTGAAGGCACCATTAATACTGAACGATATATACATGTTTTGGCAACATATGCTGCCATCCAGATGACGTCTTTTTCAGGGAAGCCCTTGATTATTTCAGCGAGACAATGTCAAACCACATTCTGCATGTGTTACAACAGCATTGCTCCATATTAAAAGAGTCTGGGTGCTAAACTGACCTGCCTGCATTCCAGACCTGTCACCAATGAAAACACTTGCTTCATTATAAAATGAAAAATATGACAAAGGAGACTCCAAACTGTTGAGCAACAAAAATGGGAAAACATTTCACTTTCAAAACTACAGCAGTGTCTCCTCAGTTCCCAAACGTTTACAGAGTGTTGTTAAAAGAAGAGGTGATGAAACACAGTGGTAAACATGCCCCCAACTTGGTTTGCTGCTCACACATACATATACTCACAATAGGTTCATTTTTGGGGCAAAAAAGATAAATTGTGTTTAATACACAGGTTACTGTATGTATATTGAAACTATAAAATGATGAATTTGATTGCTTTGTCACTGTAACTTTTACATACAGTTTAAATGCCTTCATACTGTCAAATCTAGTATTTTGACACAGCAGTTTGCTTTCTTTTCTGATTTAGTTTTAACAGTAACTGTCTGTCGGTGTTCCAGCTGTTTAAAAAAGGGAAGAAGTTGGCAGCGATATTCTTAACCAGGACGACTTTGAATACCTACGTGGTGTGGATTACCATAGAGAAGAAGATACAGGAGTTTGTGATGCGACCAACAAAAGGACGTGAGTCTAATGGAGGCCAATGGAGACTACAACGACAACATGACAGACAAGGTCAACGGAGATTGTAACAGCAACATGAGAGACGGGGCTAATGGAGACTGCAACAGCAACATATGACGCGAAGCTGCGCTACGCACAAGTTCTCTGATGTTATTTCTTTAAACTATTTTGAATTTTTGAAACTATGTGTGTAATGCACTAGTTGAGCAGCTATGATGACTGGAAATATCAGTGGGGTTATAATGAGTGAAAGAGGTCCCTCTGTCAGGGATTGTTTTACCACGATTTTATGTTTGGATATTGTTAGAGTTAATAATTCAGTACAGGCCGTGGGATTAATGTAGTGGATATCCACCTAAAACAGTGAGAGAAATTTGTGTCTGTATATTCCTTTCTTGATTTTCTATTTAACCATGACCAGATGTGACCAATATGATTTAGATGACTTGTGAAATCTGTGTGTTCCTTTGTGTTGCGAATGCTTTTCTTTTTTTCCACTATTATTATCTAGTTATTGATTTTACTCAAAAACGTATGCTAAAAGGTGACTAGTTTCAGGTGCTTATAGAATATGGGGAAATTAAGTGTGTTTTGGTGCACAGACGTGCACACATGCATTGAGTTGATAACACAGTGAAGCCACCTAACAGGACACCACTGGTTCCACATGTTGATGCTGATTTGCTTTTTACTTGAAGACAGCTTGCAAATTCTCAGACTGAAAGCTTAAGTAATTAGTTTTTGATGAGTTTGCCTTATGCCCTGAAATGGAAACATTTGATGAACCAGGAGAAGTTTTTTTTTCTCCTAAAGACCAATCAACACCAGAAGAAATGTAGAGTTTGTTGCTTTTTGGAAGGAAAAACATAAAAAAGTAAATCTCTGACTGGTTTATTGTGTAAGTATTGCAAATTTAGTTAATCACATCTTTATAATCAATATCTATGAATAAATTCTAACATTTCCATGATGAAGGGGTCTCTCGAAAGGGGGGATAAGCTATAGCTTGCAGCTAATACTACTGCTTAATTAAATAAAAACAGGCCTAATATGCAGAGCCAAGAAACACATGTATATGCTGGAGTATCCGGAGACAGTAAAGCCCATCTGTGCTCCTGATATATCTGAATGTTTGCGGACATGGATATCCCCGGATATGATGTCTTTTCACGCAGTGACAGTCTTCCTTTGTTCCAGCCTTTGTAAGAATGCATTGATGTATTGTACACTGTTTGTTGTATGGGTTACATTGTATGTTTATGTATGTTGTACAATGTCAAATTACGTCTTATTGCACCGGGAACAATTACCACTGACACGTTGTGTGGCAATAAAAGAATCATTTAATCAATACAGCAGATCTCTTTATTAATGATTATAAATTATCTTCAGGTTTTTAAAAACAGTATATTAGACATTAAAACGTTTAAAAATTATTAAAACCGCACTGTGTTCTACTTGTACTACACTATCTAAACATGTTGTTGTACTAATATAGGCCACACAACTGAAGAATAGTGTAATAATAATAATAATAATAATAATAATAATAATAATATATTAGGAATGCTTTTAATCTCATGGTTGAATGTTTTGATAATACTCTCTCTTACAATTACAAATGGAAGTCACACAAATGTTTATCTAAAGAGACTGAAAGCTGTGCTTTATAAATCTAACAGTAATTATGATATTAATGGAAACATTATGTTTTCAATTGTGTTCAAGAATCATAATGTGAGAACAAGTTGCACAGGATTGTATTGTGAGTCACACTGAAGTGCTTGTGCTTCTGTTGAAGTGATCTGTGAAGCTGAAAACTAAACTCACCCAGATACTGCAGTGTCAGAGTGAAAGTAATGATTCTATTGGATGATTTACTGAGAGGTGTCAGTTAGAGAGAGAGGAACAGAGAGACTGTAGTCAGTCAGCTCTCACTCATGTATGAGCTTGTTTCCTCTATGCTGATCAAGATGAAGCTGTGTTTGATTCTCGTCTGTGCAGCTCTTCTCTACACAGAGGCTAAAAGTGAGTAAAAGTGAATATTTCAGTACCGAGTAGTGAACTGTAGTGCTGGATTGTAATTACTGTAATATTATTGTGATTTTATATAATCAGGAGAAGGCAGGTTTTTTAGGTGATTCTGATCATGGACTCAGACACCTGGAGAGAGAGAGAGAGAGAGAGAGAGAGAAAGAGAGAGAGAGAGAGAAAGAGAGAGAGATTATGGACAGTAGCATTTAGTGTGTTAACTGCAGCTGTCACACTTTTTTTTATTTTTGTGTTTATCATTTTGAATTGTACAGTGCATTCACAAACTCTTTGCTTTAATATAATAATAATAATAATAATAATAATAATAATAATAATAATAATAATTGGATAAGAGTACAACAATTAGGATAATTTAAAATAAATGTAAAAATGACATGCCAGTAAAAGTAAGAAAAATAATGAAAGCTAGTGAAATGCTGAAGTGAAGAAATATGTTTTAACTGTTTTTTAATCACAGGGCTGCAACAGAAGAGATCAAAGGCAGAAATAGTTTTGTTTTGCCCTCAGTAAAGGGTTAAACCTGTAAAACAGCGTGTGTGAATGATGTGATGTTCCCTTTCTTTTTTCCTCAGTTCAGCACAAGGATATGAACATAGATCTGTGCTCTGATACAGAGAAAGAGTTTTTGTACGGACTTGATGGAGAAGAAAAGTGGCACGCTGACTTCAGTCAGGGGAAAGGAGTGATGACCCTGCCACAGTTTGCAGATCCTGCATCCTATGGAGAAGGAGCCTATGAGAGCGCTGTTGCTAATGTGGAAATCTGTAAACAAAACTTGGCTGTTTGTATAAAAGCCTACAATTACCCTGCAGTACCAAAAGGTAAGACATGAGACACTGCAACACATAATGTATTTACACATAAATGGAACTTAAAAGAGGGCCTGTGTGTCTAGTAGAAATTATTTATCAAAATAATATATTTAAAATATCAAAAGGTCAATATAAAAAATCGTATTGAAATAGTTCTGGGAAAATGTTTCTGTGCAAAGTACAGTATAGAAACCGTTTTAAGTATCAGACGCACAAACTTAATTGCTTTTTATTTTGTGTGGTCAAAGCTATTGTTACATTCTGATCAGTACACCTGTAAAAAACTTTAAAATTACACTGCAAATTGAAATGATATTTATTCAAATATATAGATGTTATGTTAAACACTGCTGGTGTTTATAATTTTTTTTTCTAAATTCTATTCCATTTTTGCTGTTGTCTTAATGTTGATGAATAAAACATGAATGACTTCACCTACAGATGCCCCCCAAACTTCAATCTACCCCCAGGACGATGTGGAGCTGGGCTCTAAGAACACTCTAATCTGTCATATCACTGGATTCTACCCTGCACATGTTGGAGTTTCCTGGACCAAGAACAACATCAATGTGACGAGTGAAGCTTCTTTCAGCAGACATTACGTTACTGATGATGGAACCTTCAACCTGGTCACTCGTCTGAGCTTCACTCCAGAGGAGGGCGACATCTACACCTGCACTGTGGGCCACGTAGCCCTGGACAGACCATTGACCAAAACATGGGGTGAGATTTATACCTGCTTATAGACCTGATTCTGTTAATGGATTATAATGATGACTTCAAAGAGCAACCATGAATGCTGCTTATAATTATACAAAATACTATTTCTAGACAGCAAAACTGAACAATGAAACTTTTATAAGACAAGTAAATTATAAACATAAATTAATAATAATGTATATAGTTTAACTATATTATATTTAAATGAATAATAATTTAACATAATTAAGATTATTTCAAAATGATATACCAAATCCTATCAAGATGTAATTGAATATGAAATAAATGCGTTTAAAATAAATCAGTATTATACATTTCCCAGTAACTAAACTGTATGAATTAATAAAACATATGCTTGTTGTACAGATGTGCAGGTCACTCAGCCCGGTGTGGGTCCGACTGTGTTCTGTGGAGTGGGTCTGGCTACAGGACTGCTGGGAGTCGCTGTTGGAACTTTCTTCCTCGTCAAAGGAAACAACTGTAACTGAGAGTCTGACTGTAAACATCACAGAAAAAACTCATTACAGGATGATTTGTACGCTTGAAGCTTGTGTGATTTTTCTTTTACTCTGTATTTTGTCATTTTTCCATTGTTTTTGTTTAAATGTTCTACACCATGTCTTTGAGCTGCAATTTTGCACCGAGTGTAATCAAGCCTTTGGTAGTCCACTTAAATTCTATGCAACTAAAATATTGTCATATACTTATATATTGTTATATTCCCACAAGACTGTGTTCACATAATTTGAAGACCTAAAATGATTTAGTTGACCAAAGTAAATAAAGAGCAACTAATAAACTAAGTCCACTAATTTTGTTTGTTTGTTTAATATTTGTTTTTCTATAAGCTGATGATTGGAATTAAAACTGCAGTTAAATGAAATGTAAAGAAAACCGAGTTTACATTTCAAATGTTACAATAAAAATGTAAATGTAAAAGAATAATACATTGTGATGAGAATTGTTTCACTTAAAGATCAATATCATTTTCATTTATACACTGTTTTTTAATTGGATATTATTGGATAATCTACATCATCACAGAGTGTGATGTGCTATCAGCTAGTGTTAGCATGTTTGCAAGTTTTTTATTAAATCTGAAGACTGTGGAAAAAGCTTTCATATCAAGTCTCACTTCTCATTTTGAAGTGCAATTTGAACATTAAACTTGAAGTCGTAACCAAATTAATCTTAAGCATCTGCAATAAAATAAGCTCTGTGTTTAAGAGTGGAATAAAAACAATCTCTTCGTCATTTGTTTTTTCTTGGGAACAGCCATGTATATATACACATACATGAAAATATATGAATATAGGTTTAAAAAAACAAAACAAGAGGTGAAATTTAGTGCTTTAGTAAAACACAGGAAACCTCACAACTGTTAGCTTGTGAGGCTGTTTGCACCTCCCGATTTTGCCAAGTCGCGACTCTCCTGAAGGCAACAACTGTGATGAAGCCCTAGGGCAAAAAAAAACAACAAAAAAAAAACAAAACACATCAGCCAATCAAAATCTCTTAGCGTCTGTGACATCATCAGTGTGAGCCTGTTTTCTTTCCTAAAGAAATTTGAAAGAAGGAGCAGAGCTAAATCTAAATCAGGAGGTGTGAGGCTGTTCGCATCTTGTCATTGGACATCATTCAGTTTTCTGTTTTTCACATTTGGGATTTTTGCATTTTTAAGCAAAAATGGTTAAGAAGTATATAAGATAGATTTAATCTTCACATACACCCCACCAAAACAAGAAATCATAAAAAAGACAATAATTAAATTATCAACTTTAAAAAACTTCATATACTTTAATTTTTTTTATGAAATCACTATTTACCCATCATCCCCTGTCTGCCTTCCTATCATCTGGCACCTGTAGGACTAATTCTGTCCTCACCTCTTCCCCTGAGCCACTATTCATCAGAATCAGACCTTCAACAACACTTCATAACTGCTAGCTCTGCTACATACACGCTTTATACACTCTCTGCACTGATAAACATAATAAAGATATACACCTTACAGGCTAGATTATAACAAATAAAATCATATCTAAATGCTGACTTGAACCGTGGTAGGTTCATTAGACGCAGTCTATAAGTATTAGTGAAAACTGATTTTTTTGGCATTTTGTTTGTCAGTTGTTTCTTCTTACTTCTTTACTCATCTAGTCTGACATTCATTTATGACTCTGCCTAGTAACCTGTGATGCAGTGGTGTAGCTGATTCTGATTGGTCAGTGAACTGAAGAGTCTGTATGATCTGGAACTCACTCTCTGAAACTCTCTCAGTTGTTGTTGGGTGTAGAGACAAAATGTTGCTGAGTCTGCAGCTGCTGCTTCTACTGACTCTGACCATAAGGACAGGTATGTTTACATTTACAGTTAGTTTATGAATGCTATTTTAAAGAAATATGCATATCAGACATTGTATATTCATATAACACAATTTTATAGAGTACAGAAAACTGTCTATCTGGGCAGTAAATGTGCTTTTATATAAATGCTAATTAACATAATATAGTAAAAAATTACAGACTTTTCAGTTTTCAGTAAAGTTATTAATATGTTGTGAGCTGATTAGAAAAGCATACATAAAAAGTTATGGATAATCGAATTTCCATGAGCAACACACATGATGTAATTTAAAGAGGGTTTACCTTAATGAAAGAATGATTAAACTGATTTACCTTAATGATGGATTGATTAAACTGATAACCTGAATGAAGGATTGTTTAAACTGATAACCTTAATGAAAGATTGATTAAACTGATTTACCTTAATGATGGATTGATTAAACTGATAACCTGAATGAAGGATTGTTTAAACTGATAACCTTAATGAAAGATTGATTAAACTGATTTACCTTAATGATGGATTGATTAAACTGATAACCTGAATGAAGGATTGATTAAACTGATTTATCTTAATGAAGGATTGATTAAACCGATAACCTTAGTTTAGGATTGATTAAACTGATTAACCTAAATGAATGACTGATTAAACTGATAACCTTAATGAAGTATCGATTAAACTGATTTACCTAAATGAAGGATTGATTAAACTGATCGACCTTAATGAAGGATTGTTTAAACTGATCGACCTTAATGAAGGATTGATTAAACTGATTTATCTTAATGAAGGATTGATTAAACTGATAAGCTTAATGATGGATTGATTAAACTGATTAACCTTAATGAAGGATTGATTAAACTGATTTATCTTAATGAAGGATTGATTAAACTGATGTAGCTTAACAAAGTATTGAGCAAACTAATTTACCTTAACAAATGATTGATTAAACTGATTTACCTCAATGAAGGATGTGTGCAGGATGATAGAAAACAAAACTTTGTTCTTCTAACCAGCTCACTATATAGTGACCCATCTATGGTAGGCCACAACATGAATGAGAGCAGACTCTCTCCCCCAGACCCGCTTCAGACCAAAACACAGAACCCCAAATAACAAAGTCAACAAATCATCCAGCAAAGATTCATTTTATAGGTTCTTGCAATCACAGGGACAAAAAGTAGGAGCTCCTCTGGGTGGAGTGACTTCAGGGACAGACACTGATCAAACAGTAAACATCACAGACTAAGGATTTAAAGGTTGACTGAATCTGAGAAACAGTAATGACTAAAAAGTACACTAATAGCCGTGGAAAACTGTTCTGCCCACACCTTTATGGTCTGCCGATTCTGTGGATTTTAAGGCAGCTAAAAAACATCTCATCATGCAGGCGTTTGGGTAATCTGTGTGCACCAGGTCTGCATTTTCATCTATTTATTGTGTAGTGTATTTTTATCATGTATTTATGTTTTTGTACTTTTTATGTACTTTTTTGTACTTTAAATGCTTTTGTAAAGCACTTTGTGACTTATGTCTGTGAGGAGCTCCATAAAAATAAATTTTCCTTTCTTAACTAAACGACACTCACTCCCTTTAAAGCAAAACATGAAAAAAGGGGCAGTCCGAAATAAACAGTGCCCGCTCCTACCTACCCAGGGATATTAAGATTTCAAGGGACAACAAGCTTTGAGAACACAGTTACAGTAAATATCAAAAACTGCACAAGTTTAATCAAATAGTCATTACAGTGATCGTCAAAACTGCACCGCTTAAGTAACATGCGCAGCGGGAGCGTGCCGGGTTCTCCAGACTGAAAACTTCCGGATCGCACCCCAATACATCGTACCCCCTTTTGTAGTTGAAGTGCGCCGCCAGATGGCCAATCGCAAACCTGCAACCCGCAAAAAACAGCACTGAACGTCTACTTGTTTTTTTTTTCTGTATTCATGTTTATTTGTGTTGAACTTATTCTAAAGTTATATAACGTGTTTACAAGAAAAATTAATGTTGAATGTTTTGGATATAAGCGATTAGAAAACAGTCTTAGGCTAATTAATTGTAAAAATATGAGTGTTTAGACATTACAGTTCTCTGCGTTATGACGTGATCAACTTTAACGAAACATTGTGACTTCTTTAATTGAATTTATTATTTAGTAGCATATTCATATTTATTTTATTGCCTTACACAGACGTGTTTGTTACTGTGACTATTAATTTTCTTTGTTTTTGGTTTTATTGGCAGATGGATATGATTTGTACATGACAGCTGAGTGCATCACCAGTTCACCAGATCTGACTGATGCGGAATTTATTCAGTCATGTTATTTTAATAAGGATCCATATTTACGGTTTAACAGCACAGTGGGGAAGTTTGTAGGGTTCACAGAGTTCGGAGTGAAGAATGCAGAGCGCTTAAACAGCGGATCTTATGTACAGCAGATGAGAGGAGAGCTGGAGAGATACTGCAAACACAACCTGAAAAATGATTACTCCTATGTTTTGGAGAAAACAGGTAAGTGACACACAGACTACACTGCTAAAAGAAAACACGAGAGCTTCAACAGCAGAAAAGAGCTGAGCTGGAGAGACACAGCAAACACAACATGATAAATGATTCCTCCTTCACTTCTAAAAATACTAACATTATTTACTAACAATGTTTATACTCTTCTAGTCTCAGATGAGCTCAGGTCTCGTCCACCGGATATTTCCGCATTTTTCATCCGAAAAAGAAAACAACACCTGTCCACACTAATCGTGTTTATGATTTTTTTTTATAGTGATGTCATGAATTTGAGTGCCTCATTTATACATTGTAAAAACTATTTGGGCTTTTAACTTAAAGTTAGTGTCCGGGCTGTGTTAAGTTTACGGGAATACAACACAGATTGTTCTTCTGTTAACTTACTATTTGAAGTTCAGTTATTTCAAAACTTTAATGTGGCCCGAACCCTAACTTTAAAGTTAAAACCCGATTTTTATTTATTTATTTATTTATTTTACAGTGTAGAGCATAAAGTTGTAGAGGGGACCAGACAGCATGTTGCAAACTTCACAATAACTAAGTCTTGTTGAGAAAACAAAATGGCGGTTCATGTATGCGCACTAAATTACAACTAAACTAAGTTTTTATCAAGGTTTTGCATAGATTTAAGGCTAGAAAACTGTTCAACTGTTAGCACTCTTCAGCTCAGATATTTTAGTATATCGGGCCTATACATACTTTCCACCTTAATGTTTTGCTGGCTTCATGTAAGTTTTAATTAAAGTCAATGTCATTTAATAAAAAGTATATATTTTATGACAAGAGCATATAAATTATTACATATATTATATAAAGAGCATATAAATTATTATTATTATTGTTATTATTATTATTATTATTGTTATTATTATTATAACCATTTAAACAAAGCAAAAACATTCAACATTGTGGGTTTTTTTGCATGTAATATCTAATTAGTAAGTAATTATAACTGATTATTGTACATTACAGAACAGATCAGGTGTGGCTGGAACTCTGAACTGTAATACTCACATATAAAGTCATCCCAAGCAAGACAGCTAAAATGTAGCCTAACGCTGGCTAACCATTACTACAACTAGCATGTAATGCTAATTCTAGCTAGTCAGTAAAACTCCTGTAAACTATTAACTATGTGTCTCTTTATGATATGAAAATCTACCTGAATGATATATTTCTGGTGATATACTAAAGAGGGGCTTTTGTTCATGTCTGGAAGGCCCTCTTACCCCAAAGGTCTAACATTTTCACTTCAAAAGAAAAAAAAAAATCATCTCAAAAACCAATGCATTTAAAAAACTCTTTTTCAAACTCTCAACCCCCCACCCCATGATCATATACTTATCAAAACCTTTATTGTACAGGTTAATATTTTGAGTACCCCTGGTCAAATTCAATGTTGTCTTGATTTTTTAAGTGAAAATAGAGAACATACAGAGAACATACTTCTGTACCTTTTAATTATTACTGTTTATTTGCTGAATTTAACATATTGGGGTACACTCTAAAACAGATGTGTTAAAAAAAAAAAACACAGCTCTAACTAGACACATCAGTGTGTTCAGCTGGAGATGATACATATTGTACTATTTTAACACCGAATGTGTTAAATCAGAAAACATTATAACACAAAAAGTATATATATAAAACCAGTAACACAGGTATGTGTGATGTTATTTAACACATCACTTTTTAGAGTGTAAAAAGAATAGACAGATTTTAGGAGCAATTCCTGTAAGAGCCCAAAGGTGAGCCGCCTGCTAGGCCAGCAGAGGGAGGTATGGAGCTGCTCTGATTAGGGGCAATTGTTGGCTCCTTGTCCTCCTCCTAATTGGAGGGAAGCTCATCCTGGCTCCTGTGTAAAGTCTTTAGTTGGCCTGCCTAGTGCACAGACTAGCCAGTAATAATGCTAACCCCTCTCCAGCGTTAAGATAAAAAAGACAAAAAAATATTATTGAGGTTGGCGGTTGGAATCTGATTGGGGGCATTTCTCAGCATCTGCTTTTCGACGAATCCCTCACTTTATTCTTGCCAACAAACGCAGTCTAGTCAGTAAACGGTGTTGCTTAATAGAAAACGTACTTTTCACTGAACGTTGATTCAGTGCACAGTAGTGATAGCTTGCTTTTAGCATGTAAACAGCATCCTTACTGACCTCTTTATTCAGAGGATCCAGTGACATTTGGGGAAAAATATATATGTAGGAGAACACATTGCATTTGAAATATTTTTGATTCACACAGAACAGCATTCATTATTCCCAGTATGAAAACTGGCTTAGTTCTGGATTTTCTTAATATGGGCATGACACCAACTACAGAGGTCTGTAGCTCTGATATCACTGACTTTACAGAAAGGACATCAGCCATGTCATATATGCATGCTCAACATGTGCAGAATAACAATGACTATGCACAAATTCACAGTGATGTCAGTGTTGTCAGAACTATACTTTTTACATGTCCACATGGACAGAAGGTCAAAAGGTCCATACATGTGTAGATGGGGCCTCAGACTATTCTATATCAGACACTCCCTGTCCTAGCTCTGCCAAAGGGAGGACAGGAGCAGAAAGAAAGAATGAGCAGTAACAGGAGAAGTGGGGCAGCCGATCTGTTTCAACGCCATCAGATTTTATGTTGATTATTCATGAACAGCGTCTAGTCAATTAGTTGCTCCAGCCTATTTACATTTGAGTGAGTCCTTCTCTTCCATGTTTATTTATTTTATTGTACATCAAGTACATATTACACAAAACAGAGAAATTACACGAATACAAACAAAACAAAATCTAAAGCCTAGTTGTTTGTGCTCTCTGGGTGAGTAAAAGACTTCCAGATAGTCTACATTCATGAGTCGTCCTCTGGAAGCTGCTTTGATAAAGGTGCCTAAAAGGGTTCCTTTCAATGGATGGTTCTTTATGGAACACTTTTTCATAATCAAGATGTGTGAGAGTGAAGAACCTTTTTAAAGTTTAAAGAACCTCCACATAGTGTGAAGGTTCTAGAAAGCACCCTGCAATCGGAATATAGCCTCATTATATGAACGTTCTTAAAATGGTTCACAGTCACAAATCCCTTTTTCAAACATGGTTCTTTAGGGAATCAAAAGTGGTTCTACTATGGAATTGCTCAGAGAACCTTTTGAGGCACTTTTAAGGGTGTTATCACAAAGTGGTACACATTGGTTCCACATTCAAATGGGGCCATCTTGTTGGAAAAAGTATGGAAACCAGATCAGGCCATTTAAGTCCAAAACATCAGGCCCTTGCTTTTATGGCAATACAAGAATTCATATTGCATTCCTTCAAAGAGTCCACATTCAAATGGAGCAGTGAGCCATCTTGTTGTAAAAAGGTTCTTCAATGTGGACCATTTGAGGGAACTCATTGTGGATGCTTATTTTAGCATTACACCAGCAGTGCTTCGGTGTGTTTTATTGATGTACTAATAATATCTGTGTTATTTATAGTGAAGCCAAGGGTCAAACTTATGGCGGAAAAGCAGGGCATCGGTGGTCATCCTGCCATGCTGATGTGCAGCGCGTATGGCTTCTACCCTCCAGCCATCGATGTGTACTGGCTGAGAGATGGTAAAAAAGTGACCGGTGATGTGACCTCCACTGGGGAGATGGCTGATGGTAACTGGTACTACCAGATCCACTCCCACCTGGAGTACACGCCCGCATCTGGAGAGAAGATCTCCTGTGTGGTGGAGCACACCAGCTCTAAGGAGCCCATCATCTACGACTGGGGTGAGAATAAAGAGGCAAATTATTACAGACTTTACAGCCTGTTTACACTGAGCCACTTCATACTTCCTGAGCTGAGTGGATAGTTATCATGAAAATGTCAAGTGGAAATGTAGTCAGTATGCGTTTTATGATTGAATGCTATCTGATCATTTCAGGAGATGATTTAAGTCATACTGGAAATACAGTCTGGCAAAAAAAAAAAGCTGAAAACAACAACTTCTGTGGCCTTTTACACCCATTAGTCTCCTGGAGTCATTATTCCCTCTAGCTCTTATTAAATACTATTAAATAAATTAAAATAAAGATCTGCCATCAGATCATCATAGGGGATTCTAGAATAGAATTCTTTGGATTTGCATGTAACACAGCATTTACACAAGTCAGACTGATCTGTCTAACAGAGATGCATTAACACGGGCAAGTGTAAATAGAATGTTGAAAAATCTAATCTGGAAATAATATATGAATCAGATATAAAATGAATTGATAAGTGTAAATAGGGTTCTAAATGCAATTAAATGTCAATTATGAATCAGATATGACCCAAAATATGACTCAGGGTCAAATTATCTTACAGCTACAAAATTGGTTCCAAGTCCCTGGTGACAGTAAAATGTCTTAATTTCCTCAAAGCTTCTTAACATTAAAATTACTATTAAATATTTGTGTTAACACAGATGGCTCTCTTCCTGAGTCTGAGAAGAACAAGATCGCTATCGGAGCTTCAGGGCTGGTGTTGGGGGTCATCCTGTCAGCTGCTGGATTCATCTACTACAAGAAGAAATCCTCAGGTCAGTTCAGATAAGAGAGAGGCTAGTACTAGTGGCTAGTAATGATCAATCTAGAGTATTGATGTATTAATATGATTTAACACAACAATTATTAATGTGTTTTACAGGCCGGATCCTGGTGCCGAGTTAAGCTCTGGTAAACTTAATTATTTTTTTTTTATTCATGAGTTTCAAATGTATATATTGGTTTTATTATCATACTCAGACATAGATTACTTCCTTTTTAAAACACAAAGTGAAACGTTCAGCTCTTACATGTTTATCTGGATTCTTGCAGGTCTTTGTGATGTTGAGGACTCACCTTTAATCTCAGGTGGAAAAGCAGCAGAAACTACAACAGATTTTATCATCTGCATCCTGTTCATAGAATACATTTAAACAGCTTTTTATTTCTTAAACTCTTTACTGAAAGCAAAAGCTTTATTATTTTCATCTTGTGAGTTTTTATGTATTGTTAATGATGAGAGGAACTATTAGAAATATTCTTTACTGCATAAATTTATGTAAGTTAATGAACTGTTTTAGAGACAAACTGATTGATGTCACATTGATCTACTACAGGATTAGTAAAAACCATTTATAGACCATCCTTACACGAGACTTAATTATTTCATATGTGTGATTATACCAAAGATTTACATTGACTGTTGGAATGGGCAAATCTGGCTTTGACTAACCGAAGAACTCTTTAAATTTGCTTCTGGAATTATGTGTACATTTACCTTTTCCTTAACAGACCAGCATCAGGGTCAAGCTTTTATTAACAAACAAATATCTATTATCATCACTAGCTGTGTATAACATTTTAAAGTGGAATTGGCTCTTGATTTTGTGTGTATTTGACTGCTTTAAATAAACATTTCTTAATTATTTTGTGCTTAAAGTTTCTTAAATCTAAATGGTTTGAGTTTTTCTAGGCATGTATTTCATGAAATTATAGGTCATGACTACAAATTACCTAATCATGTGATGAGGAGGGATACCAATCTGTCCTGTTAATTGTTTTGATTTTCTTATCAATTCCATCTCTTCTTTAGTCTTATCCATGACGGGCTGGTGCAGATTTAAGCTAAACTACTCAGTTCAAATGCTAAAACAAACAAGTAAAACACCCAATTTAACTAACTGAACTAATGGTTAATAGCAACATTTGCTTAATAAGTCAGCCTCACTGTTAAACACTGTTTTATTTTTCCTACAGTGAAGCATACTTGAGTATATCTTATGCTTGAAGTATAGAAAAGTATTTTTTTTTAATTTAACATTTTTTATGGAAATATTTTAATGAATATATTTCTTAAGATAAAGAAACATACTTAAACAAAAGTATGTTTAATAACTGTGTTCACAGACAGTGAGTTCTGGAAGTGTTCCTGAGCCCATGCAGAGATTTCTGCTACAGAATCATCCCATTCTAAATCCATAGGCATTAATATGGAGACATTTTGTAGTGAATCTGTGGGAATTTTTGCATGTTCATCCAGAGGAGCATTTGTGAAGTCAGACACTGATGTTGGACGAGAGAGACTGTTCCCACAAAGTTGGAAGTGTACAATTGTCCAAAATGTCTTGGTGCTGAAGCATTAAGATTTCCCTTCTCTGGAACTAAGGGTTCTAGACCAACCCCTGAAAAACAGCCCCATATCATCATCCCTCCTCCACCAACCTTTACAGCTGGCACAGTGCAGTCAGGCAGGTAACGTTCTCCTGGCATTCGCCAAACCCAGACTCGTCCATCAGACTGACAGATAGTGAAGCTGATTCATCACTCCACAGAAGACATTTCAACAGTCCAGTGGTGGCACTTTACACCACTGCATCTGACCCTTAACACTGTGCAATTTAATCTTAGGCTTGTGTGTAGTTGCTCTGCCATGGAAACCCATTTCGTGAAGCTCCTGATGTGCAGTTCTTTTGCTGATGCTGTTTCTAGAGGCAGTTTGGAGCTCTTTAGTAAGTGATTCAACAGAGGATAGACACTGTGCACTTCAGCACTCTGTGGTCCCACTCTGTGAGTTTGGGTGGTCTACCGCTTTATGGCTGAACTGCTGTTGCTCCTACACACTTCCATTTCACAATAATAGCACTTACAGTTGTGGTGTCCCAATACTTTTGTCCATATAATGTATATTTAATCATAGCTGAATTACAATTTAAGCACACGTTACTTGTCATAAGTTCCAAAAATACATTTAGTATGTATTAAAGATTAAATGTTAAAAATAGGTGTATTTTGTGTTAAGTACCCTTTGCTAGGTACACTTAAATGCATTTTCTTTCACAAGGGTGATTATGCAGATAGGTCAGATATTAAAAGGAAAATAGTCAGTTTAGCCTCTGCCCTGCCTTACAGGTACATGTGCTTTGTTAGCATAATTTAAATTTATATTTACTTTCGGTCATTTAGCAGAAGCTGTTATCCAGAGTGACTAACACAATGTGCAAAACGCTGAAGGCAAAGTGATACAAAGTACCCAGATATACTGCAATTGTAACATCATGGATTGATCTAGTTAAATAAATTAAGACAAGTGCTTAAAATAAGGAGAATGAATTAAGTGTATTTTAGAAAGTACTAAAACACAGAGGCAAAGTGGAGAGGGTTTAAGAGAAATGTCAGAGATTCGTAATTGAAGTGTGAATGAGTGCAGTAAATTCAGAGGATGCTGAGATTTTGGTGTCTGTCATCACCAGTCTGTTCACTTCTTACATTCCCAGATTAATTATTCAGTACCTTGTGGTACTGTTGCCATGATGCCATTTTCAGAGCATTGGAACAGGAAGCAACTACAACAGTTCAACAGGTTATTGAAATATTTAACAGGCTATTACTGGCCTAAAGTGTTTTTTTTTTTCAAAATATTCTGCATTATTTATTGGTTAAGATGTAAACAAATTCAGTCAGAGTGGTTTGGTGTGAAATGCTCTGTTCTAGAGAAACTTACAGAGTCTTAATTGTTCACAGTGGTGGTGATAGGAACCAGACGTGCACCTCTAAAAGCTCCCTCACAGAAAGTTACTACATGAAATGGTTATGAATTCACTGTCTGATGACTGAGACACTGTTTTATGATAGTTTTGAGACAAGATTCATCTTGAAATGTATATATTTTAAAATCCATTCATGGTGAAGAGGTACATGCAGGGCAAAAGAGTCCCTAAAGGAATCTGGTATCACCACTACTGTAAAGAAATCTGAGTCTCTACAAAGAATCATTTTACGCCTAAAGAAAACTTTTTTTTTTCAGATTTTCCACTGTTTTCCCATCATCAACATTCCATATGAAAGCTCAGACAACACGTGTAGGTTCACTGGTGGTTTTGGATAGTAAATAAAATGGCTATATTTGTGTTGTAGTCATGGCGACCCCTGGTTCCTATCACCACCACTGTAAAGACATCTGAACCATTTCACACCAAACCACTCTGAATCTCTCTGTTTATATCTCAACCATTGAATTATGCAGGAATTTTGAAAAAAAAAATCAGTAGAATTCCCCTTTAAATACAGTTCTACTGACTATTTTAAAGAAGCTTACCCAACATGTGTCTTCTCATAGTAAATTTCTTCAGAGACTGATGATGCAACGCTATTTCTGTTTTATCGCTCGGTGACTTATGAAATGGGTTTAGGTACAACAGGGACTTTTCTAAACTGGTCTGATTATTGTGTAGTTGTAAATGTATTTGATATACCAAACCTCTAAAACTAGAATATCAAGATGATGTTATGTGCTCTGTGAAACACACCAGCACTAGTAGTTTCTGATGCATAAGGAGTTCAGGCTGGTCAAACTGTCTGTTTTTGTTTTCAGTCACAGTAAAAGAAGCTGTCAATATTGTGGGCAATGTCAGGTTCTTAGTATTCAAATTTACAGCTACCTGCCATGATTTCTCAGCATCAACTCTGTTATCAAACTACAAGATTTATTGCCAAGATATACAATTTAACACAACAGGCAACTACTTCCACACGTAGACAAGGAAATCTGAACTGCAAAATCAGGTATTTTACTTCCATAAATCATGAAATTCTACCACCATACAATGATTAAAAATAAAGGGTTTAAGGGTGTTTAAGTGAGTTTGGAGTCAGCAGGTTTTCTCTTCCTTTCTAGGTACAAGGAAACGTATTGAATTATTGCCAATGGTAATTGGCCATTTGCTACAGATGCCATAGAAAGAGATTAGGAGTATTTGTAGGTGTATTTCTTTAAAGACCCATGCACTGAAAGTATGTTCTTTATGTAACTAAAGATGGCATCACTCCGAAGAACTCTTGTAGGTCATTTATTTGAGTCAATGTAAATATTACAACTGGGAATTTTGTCAAAGATGGCACTGAAATGGCCAAGAACTGAACAGATTAATCCCTGAATTAGTAGGCCTGACCTATAAACTTATTTCCAAAAAAGTTAGGATAATATGCAAAATGCACAAAAAAGAGAGGATGCGAGTGATTAGTAAACCCACTTTGACTATTTAAACAAACAGTACAAAATCAAGATATATAATGATATGGAATGTTATTTCTTAACAACTTTTTGTAAATATACACTCATTCTGAGTCCACCATTCTCTGTTAATCAGTGAAACTAACATTGAAAAAAAAAACATTGTGTTTGCATAAACTTAATAGTCCAATGAAAATCAGATTTCTGCAGTTATCTGATTATTCAATTGGTCATGCAAACAGCATTCTCAGATTTCTTAGATTGGATTAAGGCCTAGAAATCTGATAAAGAGGCTGGATTTGAGCTCGGTAATGGGGTTCTTCACTCTGATTTCTTTCATTTCTCTCAGTCTGAGCATGTGTGAAAACAGAGTGCTGTCCCGGTCACAGCAAACAGGGTTTACCACAGCACCCGTGAGACGCAACAGAACACATTTGGAGTGAAGCTAAAACCCCAAAAAACTAAATGAAATATTCTTCATCTTCTAGACGATGCATACTCATATTTTTCTGTAGTGACTCGATGTTTTTAAAAAAAGTCATGGCATGATGATAACTTTTATGTTGCATTTATGTCACATCTTCTTCTGTGAGTTTGGCTGGTTGCAAAGCAGAAATCTGATTACGGTCTGATTCATTTAGACCTGGAGTTTTCCCATTATCTCATTACCCAAGAGCATGTAAACAAGCTGAACAAATTACTGACAAAATCTGATTTTCTGCAGTTATTGGAATATTAAGTGCATGTAAATACACTCATTGTTTTAGTATTGTGGTTATTAAGTGAAGAGACTTCAGTGAAGAACTAGCATCTACAAACGCTAGTTAAGACTGTACTAAGCACAATGGAAGTCATATATCAACAAATACAGAAACGCTGCCAACTTCTCTGGGCTCAAGCTCATCTGAAATGAACTGATGCTCAGTGGAAACATCTATGCTTATTTGCACTATGAAAACAGGATGAAACCATTCTGCATGTGTTACAACAGCATGGCTGCTTATTCATAGAAAGTTGGGTGCGAGACTGACCTGCCTGTCTCCTATTGAAATGCTGGGCATTATGAAGTGCAAAGTATGACAACAAATGTCCTGTACAGTTGCACAGCTGAAGACTTGTATAACTGGAGAATGGCAAAAAAATCTGCTTTCAAAACTGGATTAATTTTGTCTTCAGTCCCAAAATGATTATTAAGTATTGTTAAAACAAAAGATTTGTGTAAGACAGTGGTAAACACGCCCTGGCCCAACTTATTTGTAACATGTTGCGAAAAAATCATACAAAACATATTGTCACTACTGGGACAAAGCCTTGTATTTTTTTATTCCAACTAAATGTAAGAAAATTTTTCCTTCTCCTGTAAATTTACCATTTTGGAGATACAAGGTTTTGCCTTGATAATATAAAAGCTAT